GTTGAAACTGTTTACAAAGCTTGTGCTGTCTACAAACCAGCATTATTACAAGGTTTCAACAAGTCAAACGTGCAGTTTATCGAGTGAGTTTCCAAATAACGCTATGGAATTACTACTCTGGGAAAATTGTCTTTGACAAGCAAATTATGCATACTTGTAAGTCGAAGTCGGTGCTCATTCATGGGCAAACGTAATGTTTTCCGAGAAATATCAATATTCATATAAATATTAATATATAATTCAAATATGTTGAAACTGTTTACAAAGCTTGTGCTGTCTACAAACCAGCATTATTACAAGGTTTCAACAAGTCAAACGTGCAGTTTATCGAGTGAGTTTCCAAATAACGCTATGGAATTACTACTCTGGGAAAATTGTCTTTGACAAGCAAATTATGCATACTTGTAAGTCGAAGTCGGTGCTCATTCATGGGCAAACGTAATGTTTTCCGAGAAATATCAATATTCATATAAATATTAATATATAATTCAAATATGTTGAAACTGTTTACAAAGCTTGTGCTGTCTACAAACCAGCATTATTACAAGGTTTCAACAAGTCAAACGTGCAGTTTATCGAGTGAGTTTCCAAATAACGCTATGGAATTACTACTCTGGGAAAATTGTCTTTGACAAGCAAATTATGCATACTTGTAAGTCGAAGTCGGTGCTCATTCATGGGCAAACGTAATGTTTTCCGAGAAATATCAATATTCATATAAATATTAATATATAATTCAAATATGTTGAAACTGTTTACAAAGCTTGTGCTGTCTACAAACCAGCATTATTACAAGGTTTCAACAAGTCAAACGTGCAGTTTATCGAGTGAGTTTCCAAATAACGCTATGGAATTACTACTCTGGGAAAATTGTCTTTGACAAGCAAATTATGCATACTTGTAAGTCGAAGTCGGTGCTCATTCATGGGCAAACGTAATGTTTTCCGAGAAATATCAATATTCATATAAATATTAATATATAATTCAAATATGTTGAAACTGTTTACAAAGCTTGTGCTGTCTACAAACCAGCATTATTACAAGGTTTCAACAAGTCAAACGTGCAGTTTATCGAGTGAGTTTCCAAATAACGCTATGGAATTACTACTCTGGGAAAATTGTCTTTGACAAGCAAATTATGCATACTTGTAAGTCGAAGTCGGTGCTCATTCATGGGCAAACGTAATGTTTTCCGAGAAATATCAATATTCATATAAATATTAATATATAATTCAAATATGTTGAAACTGTTTACAAAGCTTGTGCTGTCTACAAACCAGCATTATTACAAGGTTTCAACAAGTCAAACGTGCAGTTTATCGAGTGAGTTTCCAAATAACGCTATGGAATTACTACTCTGGGAAAATTGTCTTTGACAAGCAAATTATGCATACTTGTAAGTCGAAGTCGGTGCTCATTCATGGGCAAACGTAATGTTTTCCGAGAAATATCAATATTCATATAAATATTAATATATAATTCAAATATGTTGAAACTGTTTACAAAGCTTGTGCTGTCTACAAACCAGCATTATTACAAGGTTTCAACAAGTCAAACGTGCAGTTTATCGAGTGAGTTTCCAAATAACGCTATGGAATTACTACTCTGGGAAAATTGTCTTTGACAAGCAAATTATGCATACTTGTAAGTCGAAGTCGGTGCTCATTCATGGGCAAACGTAATGTTTTCCGAGAAATATCAATATTCATATAAATATTAATATATAATTCAAATATGTTGAAACTGTTTACAAAGCTTGTGCTGTCTACAAACCAGCATTATTACAAGGTTTCAACAAGTCAAACGTGCAGTTTATCGAGTGAGTTTCCAAATAACGCTATGGAATTACTACTCTGGGAAAATTGTCTTTGACAAGCAAATTATGCATACTTGTAAGTCGAAGTCGGTGCTCATTCATGGGCAAACGTAATGTTTTCCGAGAAATATCAATATTCATATAAATATTAATATATAATTCAAATATGTTGAAACTGTTTACAAAGCTTGTGCTGTCTACAAACCAGCATTATTACAAGGTTTCAACAAGTCAAACGTGCAGTTTATCGAGTGAGTTTCCAAATAACGCTATGGAATTACTACTCTGGGAAAATTGTCTTTGACAAGCAAATTATGCATACTTGTAAGTCGAAGTCGGTGCTCATTCATGGGCAAACGTAATGTTTTCCGAGAAATATCAATATTCATATAAATATTAATATATAATTCAAATATGTTGAAACTGTTTACAAAGCTTGTGCTGTCTACAAACCAGCATTATTACAAGGTTTCAACAAGTCAAACGTGCAGTTTATCGAGTGAGTTTCCAAATAACGCTATGGAATTACTACTCTGGGAAAATTGTCTTTGACAAGCAAATTATGCATACTTGTAAGTCGAAGTCGGTGCTCATTCATGGGCAAACGTAATGTTTTCCGAGAAATATCAATATTCATATAAATATTAATATATAATTCAAATATGTTGAAACTGTTTACAAAGCTTGTGCTGTCTACAAACCAGCATTATTACAAGGTTTCAACAAGTCAAACGTGCAGTTTATCGAGTGAGTTTCCAAATAACGCTATGGAATTACTACTCTGGGAAAATTGTCTTTGACAAGCAAATTATGCATACTTGTAAGTCGAAGTCGGTGCTCATTCATGGGCAAACGTAATGTTTTCCGAGAAATATCAATATTCATATAAATATTAATATATAATTCAAATATGTTGAAACTGTTTACAAAGCTTGTGCTGTCTACAAACCAGCATTATTACAAGGTTTCAACAAGTCAAACGTGCAGTTTATCGAGTGAGTTTCCAAATAACGCTATGGAATTACTACTCTGGGAAAATTGTCTTTGACAAGCAAATTATGCATACTTGTAAGTCGAAGTCGGTGCTCATTCATGGGCAAACGTAATGTTTTCCGAGAAATATCAATATTCATATAAATATTAATATATAATTCAAATATGTTGAAACTGTTTACAAAGCTTGTGCTGTCTACAAACCAGCATTATTACAAGGTTTCAACAAGTCAAACGTGCAGTTTATCGAGTGAGTTTCCAAATAACGCTATGGAATTACTACTCTGGGAAAATTGTCTTTGACAAGCAAATTATGCATACTTGTAAGTCGAAGTCGGTGCTCATTCATGGGCAAACGTAATGTTTTCCGAGAAATATCAATATTCATATAAATATTAATATATAATTCAAATATGTTGAAACTGTTTACAAAGCTTGTGCTGTCTACAAACCAGCATTATTACAAGGTTTCAACAAGTCAAACGTGCAGTTTATCGAGTGAGTTTCCAAATAACGCTATGGAATTACTACTCTGGGAAAATTGTCTTTGACAAGCAAATTATGCATACTTGTAAGTCGAAGTCGGTGCTCATTCATGGGCAAACGTAATGTTTTCCGAGAAATATCAATATTCATATAAATATTAATATATAATTCAAATATGTTGAAACTGTTTACAAAGCTTGTGCTGTCTACAAACCAGCATTATTACAAGGTTTCAACAAGTCAAACGTGCAGTTTATCGAGTGAGTTTCCAAATAACGCTATGGAATTACTACTCTGGGAAAATTGTCTTTGACAAGCAAATTATGCATACTTGTAAGTCGAAGTCGGTGCTCATTCATGGGCAAACGTAATGTTTTCCGAGAAATATCAATATTCATATAAATATTAATATATAATTCAAATATGTTGAAACTGTTTACAAAGCTTGTGCTGTCTACAAACCAGCATTATTACAAGGTTTCAACAAGTCAAACGTGCAGTTTATCGAGTGAGTTTCCAAATAACGCTATGGAATTACTACTCTGGGAAAATTGTCTTTGACAAGCAAATTATGCATACTTGTAAGTCGAAGTCGGTGCTCATTCATGGGCAAACGTAATGTTTTCCGAGAAATATCAATATTCATATAAATATTAATATATAATTCAAATATGTTGAAACTGTTTACAAAGCTTGTGCTGTCTACAAACCAGCATTATTACAAGGTTTCAACAAGTCAAACGTGCAGTTTATCGAGTGAGTTTCCAAATAACGCTATGGAATTACTACTCTGGGAAAATTGTCTTTGACAAGCAAATTATGCATACTTGTAAGTCGAAGTCGGTGCTCATTCATGGGCAAACGTAATGTTTTCCGAGAAATATCAATATTCATATAAATATTAATATATAATTCAAATATGTTGAAACTGTTTACAAAGCTTGTGCTGTCTACAAACCAGCATTATTACAAGGTTTCAACAAGTCAAACGTGCAGTTTATCGAGTGAGTTTCCAAATAACGCTATGGAATTACTACTCTGGGAAAATTGTCTTTGACAAGCAAATTATGCATACTTGTAAGTCGAAGTCGGTGCTCATTCATGGGCAAACGTAATGTTTTCCGAGAAATATCAATATTCATATAAATATTAATATATAATTCAAATATGTTGAAACTGTTTACAAAGCTTGTGCTGTCTACAAACCAGCATTATTACAAGGTTTCAACAAGTCAAACGTGCAGTTTATCGAGTGAGTTTCCAAATAACGCTATGGAATTACTACTCTGGGAAAATTGTCTTTGACAAGCAAATTATGCATACTTGTAAGTCGAAGTCGGTGCTCATTCATGGGCAAACGTAATGTTTTCCGAGAAATATCAATATTCATATAAATATTAATATATAATTCAAATATGTTGAAACTGTTTACAAAGCTTGTGCTGTCTACAAACCAGCATTATTACAAGGTTTCAACAAGTCAAACGTGCAGTTTATCGAGTGAGTTTCCAAATAACGCTATGGAATTACTACTCTGGGAAAATTGTCTTTGACAAGCAAATTATGCATACTTGTAAGTCGAAGTCGGTGCTCATTCATGGGCAAACGTAATGTTTTCCGAGAAATATCAATATTCATATAAATATTAATATATAATTCAAATATGTTGAAACTGTTTACAAAGCTTGTGCTGTCTACAAACCAGCATTATTACAAGGTTTCAACAAGTCAAACGTGCAGTTTATCGAGTGAGTTTCCAAATAACGCTATGGAATTACTACTCTGGGAAAATTGTCTTTGACAAGCAAATTATGCATACTTGTAAGTCGAAGTCGGTGCTCATTCATGGGCAAACGTAATGTTTTCCGAGAAATATCAATATTCATATAAATATTAATATATAATTCAAATATGTTGAAACTGTTTACAAAGCTTGTGCTGTCTACAAACCAGCATTATTACAAGGTTTCAACAAGTCAAACGTGCAGTTTATCGAGTGAGTTTCCAAATAACGCTATGGAATTACTACTCTGGGAAAATTGTCTTTGACAAGCAAATTATGCATACTTGTAAGTCGAAGTCGGTGCTCATTCATGGGCAAACGTAATGTTTTCCGAGAAATATCAATATTCATATAAATATTAATATATAATTCAAATATGTTGAAACTGTTTACAAAGCTTGTGCTGTCTACAAACCAGCATTATTACAAGGTTTCAACAAGTCAAACGTGCAGTTTATCGAGTGAGTTTCCAAATAACGCTATGGAATTACTACTCTGGGAAAATTGTCTTTGACAAGCAAATTATGCATACTTGTAAGTCGAAGTCGGTGCTCATTCATGGGCAAACGTAATGTTTTCCGAGAAATATCAATATTCATATAAATATTAATATATAATTCAAATATGTTGAAACTGTTTACAAAGCTTGTGCTGTCTACAAACCAGCATTATTACAAGGTTTCAACAAGTCAAACGTGCAGTTTATCGAGTGAGTTTCCAAATAACGCTATGGAATTACTACTCTGGGAAAATTGTCTTTGACAAGCAAATTATGCATACTTGTAAGTCGAAGTCGGTGCTCATTCATGGGCAAACGTAATGTTTTCCGAGAAATATCAATATTCATATAAATATTAATATATAATTCAAATATGTTGAAACTGTTTACAAAGCTTGTGCTGTCTACAAACCAGCATTATTACAAGGTTTCAACAAGTCAAACGTGCAGTTTATCGAGTGAGTTTCCAAATAACGCTATGGAATTACTACTCTGGGAAAATTGTCTTTGACAAGCAAATTATGCATACTTGTAAGTCGAAGTCGGTGCTCATTCATGGGCAAACGTAATGTTTTCCGAGAAATATCAATATTCATATAAATATTAATATATAATTCAAATATGTTGAAACTGTTTACAAAGCTTGTGCTGTCTACAAACCAGCATTATTACAAGGTTTCAACAAGTCAAACGTGCAGTTTATCGAGTGAGTTTCCAAATAACGCTATGGAATTACTACTCTGGGAAAATTGTCTTTGACAAGCAAATTATGCATACTTGTAAGTCGAAGTCGGTGCTCATTCATGGGCAAACGTAATGTTTTCCGAGAAATATCAATATTCATATAAATATTAATATATAATTCAAATATGTTGAAACTGTTTACAAAGCTTGTGCTGTCTACAAACCAGCATTATTACAAGGTTTCAACAAGTCAAACGTGCAGTTTATCGAGTGAGTTTCCAAATAACGCTATGGAATTACTACTCTGGGAAAATTGTCTTTGACAAGCAAATTATGCATACTTGTAAGTCGAAGTCGGTGCTCATTCATGGGCAAACGTAATGTTTTCCGAGAAATATCAATATTCATATAAATATTAATATATAATTCAAATATGTTGAAACTGTTTACAAAGCTTGTGCTGTCTACAAACCAGCATTATTACAAGGTTTCAACAAGTCAAACGTGCAGTTTATCGAGTGAGTTTCCAAATAACGCTATGGAATTACTACTCTGGGAAAATTGTCTTTGACAAGCAAATTATGCATACTTGTAAGTCGAAGTCGGTGCTCATTCATGGGCAAACGTAATGTTTTCCGAGAAATATCAATATTCATATAAATATTAATATATAATTCAAATATGTTGAAACTGTTTACAAAGCTTGTGCTGTCTACAAACCAGCATTATTACAAGGTTTCAACAAGTCAAACGTGCAGTTTATCGAGTGAGTTTCCAAATAACGCTATGGAATTACTACTCTGGGAAAATTGTCTTTGACAAGCAAATTATGCATACTTGTAAGTCGAAGTCGGTGCTCATTCATGGGCAAACGTAATGTTTTCCGAGAAATATCAATATTCATATAAATATTAATATATAATTCAAATATGTTGAAACTGTTTACAAAGCTTGTGCTGTCTACAAACCAGCATTATTACAAGGTTTCAACAAGTCAAACGTGCAGTTTATCGAGTGAGTTTCCAAATAACGCTATGGAATTACTACTCTGGGAAAATTGTCTTTGACAAGCAAATTATGCATACTTGTAAGTCGAAGTCGGTGCTCATTCATGGGCAAACGTAATGTTTTCCGAGAAATATCAATATTCATATAAATATTAATATATAATTCAAATATGTTGAAACTGTTTACAAAGCTTGTGCTGTCTACAAACCAGCATTATTACAAGGTTTCAACAAGTCAAACGTGCAGTTTATCGAGTGAGTTTCCAAATAACGCTATGGAATTACTACTCTGGGAAAATTGTCTTTGACAAGCAAATTATGCATACTTGTAAGTCGAAGTCGGTGCTCATTCATGGGCAAACGTAATGTTTTCCGAGAAATATCAATATTCATAT